TGAAAATCAAAACCCGAAACCAAATTCCATTTCCGTTTTAACAAGACACTTAATTACATAAGTGAAGAGTGGGTCGTCATGTAGGTGGAGGGGCTAATCGGGGTTAGGTTTATGCGGCATTATAGACACATTTCGTTTGGCATTAATGCATATTGCTCATACGCCACGTGGCAGACAGAGAGGCAGAGATGCAGGAGGCTGGAAGGGTGGGGAGAGGTACAATTTGAGCCCGGAGCACTTAGCCAGCATCTCCATCTCCAACGGCTTTGGCTCTGTCAGGTATTCCAAAATTTGCATCCCCATCTGCATTTGCATTTTGCTGCTTGCCAGTTGGCCACGAGTTCGTAATTAAGTTTCAAGTGCAATTCCAGTTTATCGGCTAACCGAATTCCCAGAGCTCACAGAACTATCCATAGCTGTACATTGAGTATGTCTGGGCATCGAGCTATTTAATAGGTAAGAGAGAAAGAGGCAGTATTCCAACGGTGGCATATCGCTCATAAGGATTATACTCGGCATTTACTCCTATACGTATATAATTGAAACTCGTATCACAAGGGAAATAGTTCCGGTATTCCAATCGATAGTCGCTATATTTTTATTTTTAATCTGTTTAATGTTAGCAGACATATTGAAGAATAGGCTCGTTCTATTTTGTTCAACGTTCGTATGATAATGGATTTGAGAAATAATATGTACGTATGTATACTTTTACTGAAAACACCTACACGAATACGAATACCTACACGTGCAACATACCCTTGTACTCTATGTATTTTAGGCGTAATAGTTGCGGGCTGATTTTGTAATGCTAAAGCTGAAAGACATTTGACTTACTTATCGTCGATTTGTAGTTGCTTTTGTGGGCCTGAGCTAGGAATTAATTGGTTGAAATCTACTCGTATTGATGGCATCAACACCTCTTTTAATTAATACTAATTAATCGAATGTCTCTGCATTGTCTTGGCTGTTGATTGGGTTCTTTGCGATAGGGCTTGCTGGTTCTTTACATGATTTATAAATAAACCCATGCATGGGGATGACTGTTCTGCCACCTCCTCTTCACAACCAGAAATTTAATCGCTGCCATCTAGCCTGGGCACAAACCTCCAGCTGATGAATTTATAGCAAAACATTTGAAAATTATGGCTGGCTAGCAGAGAAACATCCAAAAATATGAAGCCAGAGAAACAATCATTGGTTGTGAGAGAGGAAAACAGAGAGAGAGAGAGAGAAGGACACTGATAGTAAGAGTAAGAGAATGCGCAGGGCATATTGCAGTTCTAGGACAACCGTTGGGGTTCTTGTCGTCGGAAGGATGGAATAAGGTATGGGATATAGATATGTGAACGCTTGGGACCACAGGAGCGGGTGCCGTACAATAATAAACAAAGTCATACAAGGGAAAGGGCAGGAAAGTGTCAGAGAATCAATCGATTTTCAATTAAAGAAGTGGCCCCTAACTATTCAAGATGCCTGCTGCATGAGATTTATGGCGTAAAGCCCAGTACTATATAGTTTTCTCGGCTCCCAGTGTGACCAAAGTGGGCCAAGTGTATGCCCTACGGTTACACTGTTCTGTGTTTGTTTAAGCCTGACACTCAGGATTCATAACTAATGTAGTGTGGGGCTTTTGTATGAATTTTCTGATTCAAAGTTTTTACTGCCGAGATTTATTTTCTCCCAATCAAGAAATAGTAAGATTAAAAAAAAGCGAAAACCGCTCACTGGCTGAACGACGGATAAAACCCTAAAAATAACGCTGCAAAATAAAGGACAACCAAAAAAGGAAAACTAATTTTTTCATCTTGGTTGGCGTTGCGACTGAAGACTGACGGTTACCACGCCAAGACGCCACCACGCCGCTCTCTCTGCCAGATACTAGTTCCCTGTCCCTGTCCCTCTTGTTGGCATAAATAAAAATTTGTTTGGCAATATGCGCGGCGCGTATTTTGTTGCAAAAGTCTTGCATTAATCTAAATATTTGCATGCTTACGCTTCCTCCCTCCTCATGGAGGTCTTCTGTAGGGAGTTCTAAATAGAGGGGGTGCAACTTTGGTTGGGTCTTTCGGCCGGTCGCTGCCTATTTATTTATTTTCATCGTAGCATTCACCGTCTACGCCGAATTGTCAACGAGTTTCGTGGGTAAAAGCCAGGCGGTGGAAGAGGAGGAAGGGGAGCGCTGCATTCCGGATTCCCGCCCCGTTTTGTTTTTCGGACGGAGTCGCATTTAAAATGCATTTCGCATGCGACGGATGGGAAACATTTCCATTGCAAATGCAACGCCAGCGGCTACAGAGGCAAAAGTGGCGATAGAAGGAGGAAGAGCAGAGGTGGATGGAGGAAAACCGAAAGAAGGAAAAGCAGCGGAAAATGGATGGAACATAATCAGAAGAAAACGGCCACGCAGATACAGCTGCAGTCAAAGTTATCACCAATGACTGTCAAACATGAAAACTGAGATGCAGCTGTTATTCTTCAAATCGATCTTTCCTGACTCAGAATTGCTGTTACCTGAATAGGTAAAATTTGTGTAGAGACAAAAGATTAAATTAATTCAGCTTCCCAGTAAGCAGCACTCGCCAAAGAGACCAACATCTCATTTCCAAGTTTCAAAGAACCAACGTTTTAAAAAATTTCCATTTGAATCGACACGATAAAGAATGCTGACGCAATCCTTTGGCCGTAGCTTGGACTGAAAACTCTTCATTGCTCAACTATCCGATTATGAAGACTCATGAGCCTTCCCTGCCCGTCTAAACTCGACCTATCCGGAATCAAATGTCTGTTTACTTTAGCTAAACAATGGGAAAATAGTGCTGATATGGTGAGTAAACAGCTCTGGCGCCACAGCTCGGACTGAAAATATTTCCAAAGAATCGGTGCAAAACGGGTCTTGTGTCAGCAGCTTAAAGCTTACTTGCATCTCGGGAGGCATAGGGTATATAGGGTATCCGGTATATGAATACGAGTATCCGACATTTTCAGCCTTTTTTCGGGGCCATTCAAATTCAACGCCGCTGTAGCGTCTATATGTATGTCAAATTAATTGATGACCAATTTGCGTTTTCAATTAAAAGCAACGGTGCACCTTTTTTTGCAGATACAATTTCATGTTGCTCTCAGCAAGCCACTCTTTACTTCCCATCACTCCCATCCTCCACTACCCCTCTATTATTCATTCCAGCGACAGAAGCGTCCATTTTTGTTGTTGTCGCAGTCAACACACACAGAAATTGCCCACTACTCTTCTATACCCTTCCCTTTCAGAGGGTATTGCGACTATGCAAAAAGTTTGACATGCAGATAGGGAAGCATTTCCGAGACAATAAAGACAAAAACATTTTTATGTTCATCATCAAGCTAGTTACTAATTCCTACCTGCAAAGGCCCACCTTTCAGCTACACGCAGCACGTTTGTTTGCATTGAAATTGGATTATTAAAACTTGAAAGAAATTCAATGGAATGATGCAGGTTGTAAATGGTAATATTTAATAGGTTGTAAATCCTAACAATCGTTTCAAAATCTTAGAGCAGTCAGATTATAATTTCTTATGGCATATTTATGTACAACCAAATAACCAAGATGCTGCTTGAGCGACCTTAAACCGGTTCGATGGCTGGGCTTATCGCTACGTCCTCTGTACAGAGAGAGCGCGCCGGATTTCAATTCTCTTTTCGTCTATACTTCGTTTTTGACCGCGGGCCCGCTGCCCAACGGTTTCGTCTGTGAATGCATATGCATGCATCTCGCACTTTGGGGCCTTTGCCTATATCAACTGGCTAAATTAATAAGCGAATAAGAGTTCAATAGATTGTTTCATACTGAAACGAAAACGAAGCCAGTAGCATTTCCTCATGCAGCCATCTTTTGGTATTGTATAGACTCGGTAAAACACAATAATCTGACATGCTGATATGACACATACATATATGTACATATGTACAATTATAATTTCATATACAATCTTGAAACTAATTTAACATATGTACATATGTATACCTGACTTTAGGCACTGGATATACAAGTGTATTAAAGGCTTCGGCCCCCGAAAAAGAATTTCTCTCTTATTTTTTGTGGGCTAGCCTTTGTTTCTGTTTTATTTTGAGAAACTTATGAAGAACTGCCGTAGATAAAGATAGACGCTTGAAAAGCTCTCTTTCACTCTGTGTCTGCCTTTGTCTCTGTCCACACAAACTCGTATGCGAGCGATTGGTTGAGCTCGCGGGCGCGGGTGAGGGCTGCCGCGGTATATAGCACGGCACTGCTGCATGCACTGGCCGCTCAATTACAAAGTAAGACAGCGTTTCTTTAATTAAGTCGGACAATTTGTAGCCAGTCGTTGGCAATGGATCGAAACGGAATCGTACTGTATGGCATGGCATAAAAGGGTGTTTGGTCCATTTGCCAGTCGCCGTTTCATCGGGATGTAACACACACAAACACACACCATTGCGTGTGCGGGCGCAGATCAAGGATTATATGGAGGCGTATTTCAGGTTTTGTGGCGTGGAGAGTCGGGGGGTGACGAAGAGCAGAGATTGGCGAAAGAGTAGAGGAGTCGTGTCATTGATTCCATGACAAAACACGGAATATCCTTGTCATTCGATGATGGATGTGGCATACGGAATGAAAGGATGTGTAATTCAGTGGTACAGCCGACCCATGTTAGTATTAGTTACTGTTGCAGAGGGGACCGCCTAAAAATATTTACATAGCTGAAAATCATTCCGATCTTGAATATCGAATTTTTAAGCATTTTTATATTTTTTTGTGGCACTCTTAACAGAATCTTTCGGATTAATGTGCACTTAATCTACATACGTACATATGTATGTATATGTATCAATATATCAGCATAATACCTATATAGGGCTCAAATGCAACCGATGAACGTTAATCGATTATTAAAATATACCGTCGTATATACAAATATGTTTGTGTCATTACATATATATAAAAAAAAATAGCAAATTATTTGTAGCTTTGGGTACTTACAAAAACCTCATCAGCATCAACCTCATCGAACGGGATTTGGGGCTGTCCTCAGGTTGAGGCTGGGCACTTGGGGTTTTTTTCCGCGACCCTGACCCTTGGGATAAGTGTCGAAACGTGGGCTTGAGCGGCACAAGTACTCGGCAGGTTCTTGGGATGTCGTCTGGCATTGGGTTGTGGACTGCGACTGGGAGTGGGAGTGAGGCTGGGGGCATCACCAAATGAAGTGACAAGCAACTTAACGCATTTAAATTAATTAAAAATGTGCTTAAGATGTTTTCGACTTGCTTTGGCGACGATGCGGCGACAAAAGGCGAAGCTGCTGCCTTGGCTTCTGCTCCTTCTGAAACTCCAGCTCCTGTTTCTGACAGCCGACGAGCACATAGGGGACAAAGAGGACGGAACTGCGCTTTGTTTTTTTCATTTAGCTGGCAGCTGTAATTAGACAATTCACTACGGGCCTACTCCGGGACCTGGACACTTGCCCTGTTTTGGGTCTGTTCAGTTGGAGCATCAGACATTTTTTGTTGACGGCACAGATTCGAGGCCCGCGATGCGCCGCATTGGCGGTAAAGTTTGCGCCACCGAACTTTGTCGTCGACGTAGCCGTAGCCGTACTCTAAGTCGTCGTCTCTGTTGTCCTCTTGTCTCCGACCAATAGTTGCCCGTTGTCCCATCCCGAGCGAAGTGTGGCGCGTCCTGCATTGTCACTTGAGTGACGGCAAAAGTGTTTTAGCCTTGCTGGCGCATCGACTTTTAAGTAGTTGTCGCCTCCCTCACAGAACAACAGACCCGACCTGGCGACTGGAGACACCCGAGCACTTTGATGCTCTTCTGCTCCCGCACCAGACCCATCTAAATCCGAATGCATTGGCCATCTTCCCGGAGAGTGGCTTAGAGGGACGTTCTGAAGGCGCTCACTCGTAGGCGTTAATGAAAATGCTTGTAATTAGTTTTGTTTGTTGGCAGCGAAGAGCGGAAGTGCTCCACGGCCAAAAGGGACGGGGCTGCGCTTTCTTCATGCATGGAACTAATTGATTCGCCAACACTCTAGTGTCCTGGAGTCGGGGCTGAGACGTTGCATCCGATTTCCTGCCAGGATGCCCTACGAGGCACCCATGGAGTGCCGCAGCAGCTATTTTAATTAGAGTGTACTTAAATCCGGTCTGATTGATACGAATCGTAGAGGAATTGTTCAGCCGACAAAAGAATTGTATAGTTTATGATATAAATCCCGTAAGTAATCCTGTTGAGAACCGATTAAATAGAAGATGCTAAAATTGAGTATAGTTAAGAGAAACATCTCATTTTTTGATGATACATCCTTAAGGGGTAATGTTTCAGGTGAATTAATGAGCCTGAACAAGGCTTAAACCAAAACCACGGACCTCTGCTCTTGGAGAGCATGCCAGATGATATCTTTTCACTTTCAACGACATTGTCGGAGAACACCTTAATTGCGCCAAATTTAATTTCCGCTTTAAGTTTGTCAAACAGACACACACTGAGGACATTTATATGCACCCAAAGTCAAGGCAACAGCAGCAAAAACAAAAGGATGTTTTGTGGAAAAGCAAAGGCCGGGGTGGATGAGCTCAATGGATGCTTGGGTTCGATGGGGGGTGGGATCCGCTGGTCGGTTCGTTTGTTGGACCATTCGTCGGCTGGTCGGAACAGGAACAATTCATCATCCATAGGACAAGCAGTCGAAAGCAATCGTTTTGTCATCTTCTGTGTGTTGCTAAATTGAATATTCCCCCCAGACTGACACCCGGCACCCTCTCTGCCCCATCGCTATCGGAGTTGAGCAGATCCACAGATCCAAATCCAGTCGTCGGGGGTGTGGGATCCCAGGCAGGCACCTTGGGATGTGCCAGCCGAATGAAATGAAATGAATGAATGAATGAATGAGCACACATGTGGATGGGAGTGTCGTGTCGCTTGTGTCTCTCCCCCACATATGCATATCAGTCGACGCATTCCAGAACAACACGGGTATATGGATGCGGCCTAGGGAGACACGGAAGCGGAGAAAGGTCAGGGCAAGAAGCAGACACGCATTCCCCCACGTTCGCTGTAGGCAGAGTCCGTCTGATGGGGGAGGAAGGAGGAAGGGAAGGAAGAAAGGAAGCCTTACAGACTGATAGATGCTAAAGATGTGCACACACACGCAGGGCACACGATGTGCATACAAAGTCAGGAGCTCCGACTCTAAAACCGCCCAACCCTCACCACACTAAGTTTACCCGGACTTAGGCCTACCTCCTGCCGATATTCCTGAAGGTATCATACTGAAAAAAAAAGGAACCAACTGCCATAATCGGTATCAAACCCAAACCATTTTGTGTCGAACATCTGCACTACTGGGGCTACCAATTCTCAATATCTATTGTATAAATGTATGTACTCAAATCAATTGCAGATCCACTTAAATTCAAAATCACTTATCAATAAGTTAGAAAGCAGGAAAGCAGCATTTTTTCGCTCAGTGCAGAGCTCCTTGATGCTCGCTGTTTCATTCCATTATTGTCCGCCCTGACAATAGATCATCAAATTCATCACGTTACATTTCATACATATGTATGGATATGTATCTGTGCGGCTGTGGTGTCCTCATTTGTAGGGCTGGCTTGCTGGCACCATTGCATTACCATTGCCATTGCCCCATCGGAATAAGCCAAGTTCAGAGAGTCATCATATGCCCAAGCGAGGAACAGTGGTGTCTCCATCTTGCCACCTTGAACGCACTAGGCCATTCACCATTTGCCACTCGCCAGAGATTGAAGATGGGCAGGGGCTTTATAATTGCTGGGATCCGCGGAGTCAGTGGCACTGCCACCCAACCACCTTGCAACCATTGCAGCCACACTTCACCGTAGCCAGTTTTTGTGGAATGCAATGTGAACGCTTCTCCTTCTTCTTCTGCGTGGGAGGGAGGATATGGGTGAGTTAACATGTGCTGGTTGCACTTGGCGTGTGTGCAATTCATGAGCTACCAACAACAAGGGGGGGCATCAACAACAACATAAAAATGCTTATATATCGTATATATCGAACTGAATATGCAATATGCTAATCAAGTGCGCTGCCCTGATTTGATTCGAGCTGTCCTTAGCCTTTGATGATGGTTTTCACTTGATTAAAGGTATTCATTCGCGCGCACGCAGTACATACATACATATCTGTCTCTGTCAACGCAACGGAGTGTGAGTGGATACATTGCTATCCTGCATGGACATGGAATGAATAGATGAATAGTTCCAGAAATGTTGAAGAGTAGGATTATATACATAAGTACATATATTTTGAGGATGAAAACAAGTCTTTGAAATTCCCCCGCTCCCTCGATTAGCCACGTAAAATTGAAAAGCTATGTCCAACTAAGTTTCTTCCTTCAAGGGTACACAAACGTCGGATTGTCATTCCTTCCATTTGGTGTTTCTGCCACCCTCTATCTAATTTCTTTTTGGCTGGGCGTGACAGTGCTAAGTGGGTTCACCTCCTCCCATTCCACTTAGTTCTGCGGGCAACCCTCCACGTCCTGAGTAAAGTCGCAAATTATGAAAATTGAAGGCACAAGGACAGGGAACTCGAATGCGAACTGGAACTGGAAGTGGAACCCAGACCCCACAATGAAGCAAATTATGCGCGAAAAATTATGACCAGACGGGTGTATCGGTGATGAGCGGTGGCCGGGTGTTGCACAAAGGGTGGACCTGGGCCAGACGTGGGCTTCTACCCCTCCTCGTGGCATGTGGTTCTGGCCAAGCGAATAAAACAAGAGTGGAAGCGTATTTTTGGGAGCCGCAGCTTTTTATACCCTTGATGGTTTGGCAATCCTTTTAGCGACAGAATCATCTATTCATTCGATTCTGATTCGATTAATTGTGTTGCTAGGAGTTTTCGAAGTGAAAATATTGAATATGGAAATACATTCTTTAGGCACCGAATGTTTTTGTTTTCTACGTTGCAAACATCCTGTTGAACTCATAGAGCTCTCTGAAAAATAAATAATGGAAAAAAGGCAGTCGAGTAAAAAATTGTACCAATACAAAATTACGGCTCGACAGGAGCAAACAGGGAAAATATATGCCGACGCACTCGAGTGCTTATTGTCCTGCCTTCGACCCGTTTATTTCCCCCTGCCACTGTCCATGGCCCTGCCACACCTAACTGGCCCTGTTCTGCCCCCCTTCTAGTGGCGCCCTTCTGTCTATAGGGGAATTGAAGCCGTTTTTTTGGCCATATTCAAAGTCATAAATCATAACGAAAAGGAACATTTGAGTCGCTTCTGTGAACGCGACTCTACTTTTACACCCGTACTCAGTCGGCATATAAATTTTTTAGCTTATGATTTATGTAGAATTTGAAAATATACATTTTACATCTACATTGTCGATTATACATTCTAAATGTAGATTCCACATACACAGTGTAAATTCTACATCTTATCCGCAAAGGTCGCGCATTGCACAGGGCAGAGTGTGTGCGAGCGAAAAAAATAATAGGCACTGCCTGTAGCGCTGGACAAGGTTGGGGAAGCAACTAAAAATTAATTTCTCTACGTTGCACACATCCACTTTTACCACAAACCCAACATACCCCTAAAATCTTCGAGTGCGGGTATAAAAAGTCGAGAAAAACCCCTGCTCGAGTATATTTTATCATAATCACATCAGGAATCGGAAAGCGTTAGCCGGAGTGGTGGACTTGTGGAGTGGTCATGTGGCACGTCTACAGTTGGTATTCTACTCAATAGAAAAATGAGATTATCCTTATTTTTGGCATTAACTGTGGCACTGGCTGAGGATGAGGTCGCTGCCTGGTCGCTTTTGATTTCTGCTCCGCCCTCGGATCGGCCTGGCTGCATCTGACAAGTGACTTTGTCAGGCTCATGTGATGAGGAGGCAGTCTCTGGGAAAAGAATTTGTGGAGGCTGCTTAATTCAGCATTTTCCTGTCTGTTTGCATATGAAAGTCAATAAATAATCCCTACCCCATCCACACATGGCGCTCGGCTCTTCCCTCAGTTCGATTTTGCTCATTAGGCATTCAAGGAGTCACCCTAATAAATGAAGTGCCTACTCCTTCTCATCTCTAAGTCTGAGAGGAAAAGTTTTTCTGAAGAGATATTTGGCAAAGACATCCGCAGATTGTCGAGTAATTCTGATGAGTTGGAGCCCGAAAACTTTGAAATCTTCAAAGAGCTTTTAAATGATTTTTATCGAGCAAATTTTAAATAATGGTTTCGCTAGACTGCCAGCCACTTCGACAACTTAATAGATATGACTTTAAAAAAAAGCACAATAAAGTAAGGAAATTTGAAACATTTTTGTGATTGAATTCACATATTCACGAGTATAAGTATTACTGCGCTTCAGGGTATTCACCAAGCGATTCCGATGAGTGTCATGAGAAGGATCCAATCAAATGTCCCACGTCTTCTCCAAGCCCGTACACAAAAACCAACGTGCAAGACAATAGTAAGTACAAATGAATCGTGTCTTGCTCTTCTATCGCTAACCTTGTTATTGTGGCAGAAGTTTGCTAATGAGAATATAGAACCAATCGCGTCGAGTCTCTTACATTGATTTATGACCCATGTGTGACTGATGTCCTGCAGAAATCTCAGTGGAACGAAACACTTTCGCTCGCGAGTAAGGTTAATGAGCCTGTGAGGGCCTCTGCCCCTGTGTGGCCGGGTCCTAGATGACGGAAGCTATTGCGGCTAATGCTCGTTTTGCCAACATGTGCTTTGGCCAAATGCTGTCATCAATTTTGAGGCCACGACCAGGGCGACGACAGGAATAAGCAAAATCTTGGACTGGGGGTTGAGGCTGATTCGGGCAAAGTGCAGAGAAACAATGTGCAGTGCCAAGCGGCGAGACAAAGGCGCAAGCAGTGGAATGAATGCAGCTGTCTAGCAGGCAGTCGGGCTGTCGGGTAGGATGAGGCGACAAACAAGGACAAGGCAGTGCAGAGCAGAGCAGGAGGACAAGAGAGAAATGAGAACAAGGAGCAAGTTGCGGCAGCCGTCGCTGTCGCTAGTTGGCAAAGTTGGCAAATGATCTGCCAGAAATCAGGAACGTTAAAAAGTAGCCTTACCCGCTGAAAGTCCTTGGCGCGGCTCCTTCAGCTGCACCCTCTCCACGAGTACGAGTACGAGGACGAGTATGCAAAGCGATTAGAGCTGAATGTTGGAGGACCAAAGATGGGATTGGACACGGAGCAGACGGGCGCAATCAGGCAAAGTGGCTCCTCCTTTGGCTGCTGTGTTGTGTTGTGCTGTGTCTCATATCCTATTCTATTCTATTCTATCCTTTTCAGTCGTGTCCAGTGTTGGTCAATCCAGTGTAGTTGCAAATGGGAGTGTCCCACCCACTGCAAACGATAGTGCGAGAAAGATCGAGTCGAGAGAGATAAAAGCACACAGACAGTGCTAAAATAATTGCATAATTTGCATATTATTTTCTGCTAAACATGCAAAAAGCTTCGCGCAACGTGTGCAACATGCACTCATGTATGCACATCCCACTGTCCGTGTAGTTGTGTGTATCTGTGCACGTCTCTGTATCCGTGCATCCATGTGTTCGTGCATCCATGTGTCCGCATCCGTGTGTGAGTATTAAGTGCAAAGTGTAAATAACCAACTCAGCATAAATCGTGATTACAACATTTTGTGTGCGGATATTTGCGGGCTTGGTTTTGTGGTTTTAATTTAATTAATATTTTTTTTCTTGTTTATTCCAACCGAGATTTCCCTCTCTCTCTCTCTCTTCGCTCTCTCTCTTTCGCTCTATCACGCTTTCACTCTTTCACTCTCTTTCTTGTTCTCTTTCTCTCTCTGCCGCTCTTTCGTTTCATCTCTTTGGTAGCTTGCTGAGAATTGCCACATGAGATAGATAAACTTGCAGATTCCAGGAATAAGAAGGTAAAGCTGCTCATTCTTTAAATCTTGGTTTCCTACATATTTAAAAAGTAAAATTCGATTCATGTCTTATGGTATCGATTCGAGACATATATGCATACATATGTATGTGAGAGTATTTATACATACATACCATATAGTACATATGTAAATTTAACCACACATGCTATTCCTTTCCCCTCTAATGTGTCGGGTCGGATCGCCTGTTGCCGCCGCCTGCTGGCTAACGTAATTTTGTGGAGTGCAGGGCGCCGCTTCAATGCGCTCCAACATATTGTGTTTACTCTGTACCTTTCGCCCGGCAGTCTCCCACACTCGTCACTCTCAAAGGGGATGTTTTTTGCCAGTTCTGGCTCTGGCTCTGGCTTTGGCCTGGCTTTTCATTTCGAGCTTCATTGGCGGTTGGAACAATGCGGTTATGTAATATAGTGCAAATATTGCGTAAAACTTAGATAAATACATTTCAGCTATGCGCTCGCGTGGCCGACAGCGGCTGCGGCTACATCAGAGGTGGTTGCCAAATGGGACCGAACCAGCTGGGTTTATGCGCGGCAAAGTCTCCGAATCTACTTTAGGGATATACATACATACATATGTAGATGGATATGTTTACACAAACAATTTTCTCAATTAGGTTCTGGCCTTGGCCAGACACAGACTATATATACATACATACATATATAATATATCGGTTATCGTTATATTCCATACAAAAGAAGGAATATATTTTCAATAAAAAATATTGTATTGGGTATTATTAATTGAAAATTAATAAATTAATATTTTATTTATTTTAGTCGATTTAGTAAAATTTAGTATAGTAATATTTTCGACCGTATAAACATAACATCTACTTTCGCCGGTGTGTGTGAGTGTGTGTGTCTGATAGAAAATGCAAACGTGCGAAATCGCATTAAATGAGCATTAGCGCATTGTTGGTTTTTATGCAGCGCGCCCAGCTGCATCCTCCAGCCCACCTGCGACCTCCTCCTAATACAACCAGCCCTCCCCGTATGTACCTACATATGTACATATGTACATGTACACACATATGTATACCCGTACATACTCGTATGTAAGTGCAAGTATGCAATTGTAAGTATACATATACATACACTGATAGAAAAAAGGCATAGTAAAAATAACTACAATCATATTTGAATTTAAAATGCCATTTTTAAATACAAACATAGTAAAATTTAATAAAATTCACTTTGATTCAAATATAAATGTATTAAAAATGCTTTTTTAATACGGTCATATTTAATCTAAATACAAAACACTTCAAAATAACTATAATATATTAAATTTGTAGTTTAATATGTTTCATATTTAAATTGAATATTATTATGACTTGATTTCAAAATTTTTCTTTTAAAATCCAAAGGAAAAACTTTTTATTTTAAATATTCCATATTAAATGAAATCAAATATTTTTTGAATTTATTTTAACTATGTTTATATTATTTTTTTATGTCCCTCGAATTCCCAACTGGTTTCAGCTGCTGCCGCCTTGAATGCGCAGTAAAATTATCTTAGCGCAGGGGCATAATCACAACCAATGCAGTCCTACTCATGTTGCGATTATTTCTAGTTGAAAACTTTAACCAATTCACACCATGAGGACTTGAAATGTAATTTGCGTACGCAAAATAATAACCAATTAGTTAAAAATGAATATAAATATAAATATGAAACATATTAGATTTAAATATTAAACATATTAAATTTAAATATGAAGCATATTAACATTAAATATGAAACATATTAAATTTAAATATGAAATATATTAAATTGAAATATTTCTATATTAATATCAAAATTTAAGTGAAAAATATTCAATTTTAATACAACCACTCTTGGATGAAAATCAATGGCATAAATATTAAAATCTAAGTGAAAATATTAAAATTTCAGGGCTTTTTTCTATCGGTGTATGATTTTGGATAACTAAGCCTCTAGTACTGCTAGAATTGCGAGAGAAATCTCGCCCAAGAGTACACAGTCAGCATCAGCGTCGCCTTCGTCTTTGGGTAGTGGTGGAACCACAGCCATTGATGTGCCCCTAATTATTAAATATTATTAATATATAATATATAAATTTTGTTAATGTTAATATTAAATGTTAGTAAACAATATAATACAATATAAAAAAAGGCACGTCCCTATCTCATGGGTATAGGAAAATGTATACGAAACGACAAAACATTACATTATTAATAAAACCTTGAAAACCTACTCGGCTATCATTTCTCCGGCTATTGCTATATGTATGTACTCACACATGTTCTTGTTGCACTTGCAAAACGGGTTTTCCCCACAATCTCCCTCTTACGATAATATGCACATTATTTTCCGTTGTGTTTCTGTAAAAAAACCATTGGAAACATACTCGGCTATCATATCTCCGACTATGGCTATATGTACTCACACTTGCTGCACTTGTTAACGGGGCCTCCCCACACTCAATTCAACAGAGTTCAACAATCACATCCCTGTAGAACCAAAGGGGTGAATTGACCCTCTCGAACTAGCTCCGCGCCGATTACCGCGCAACTAGTTCTGCAACTAGTTACGCATATATGGCATATATGGCATATATGGCATACGAAAATGGCAGGCAATTGCAATGCGAATCCAAACCCATGCGACTTGAATCGCGATGTTTGCCAGTTGAAGGGTAAGTAGAGTACAATCATAATAAGCAGTGTAAGCGAATAGTTGGATCCCACAGAACTGGTGAGGACACAGGGCAAGCAGCTTGGGCGGCTGGACAGGCACATGAAGATGGGATGGAAAGCACGTGCGCGGCTATGGCACGTACAAGTTTTGACGCTTTCCAAGTGTTCAGTTTTCTGCGAGCACTCGACGCGATCGCAACGTCGTCCCGAGCAGTCAGTCGTTCAAGTGTGTGATTCCAAGTAGATGCCGAGCCCCTTATATTTCTGTGACTGAAATACTAAAATACATACATGCATATACGAATATATATACTCGAATTCGAGAACTATAAAAGATAACTACATATTGATTGCATATATTGGCGTGTGTGTCGTACAAGCTTTATGTTGGCTCTGAAAAAAAAATAGATAAGATTGGCAACACGCTAGCAACAAGAAGGCCGGCAAAGAATAAACAAGACAAAAAATATTTCAAGATCATTGAAAGTGTTCATAGTTAGCCACTTGCCTTGACAGTGTTTGCTCTGATTTGCATATAAAGTTACATTTCGTTCTTCTGTTAGTACATACATACATCTCCTACAGACAATGTCACAAAAGTAAGACACAAGACGGACCGGCTACGAGTATTCACCGATATCTTAATGAGTGCAATTATGTCAACAGCATTCAATTGAAGAATCCCCACCTGGAAGACTTGGCATCCGATTATCTGTACCATCTGGCCATCAATGTAGCAGACACCAAGAACACCAGTGAGATTCAGAGGCAGTTTGGCGATGTCAGGGTAAGGATTGAGCCAATCAATGGGGAGTCAGTCACTCTGGATGCCAACTCCACAGGTTATCTGCACGGGTGGAACCGCTATACGCATGCTGGAACTGGCCAAATATCTGCGAAAGCAGTTGGGTGTGCAGGGCACTAGCGATCCTGAGGATATAAGCGCTAAGGGACATCGCTACGCGCTCTACAAGGTGGGACCTGTGATCTGTGTCAGCCACGGTGTCGGCTCCTCCACCTTCAGTGTGGTGCTCCACGAGCTGCTGAAGCTGGTCCACTACGCCAAGTGCCACGATCCGGTCTTCCTGCGCATCGGCACCTGCGGCGGCATCGGTGTACCACCCGGCACGGTTGTCGTTACGAAGGACGCCTTCAACGGCTTGCTCCGCAACGAACACGAGATTGTAAGTGGGTCCATTGTACACTTTAGTTATTTATATTCAATTTGCTGGTTAGGCAATTCTCGGAGAGCGTGTGGTGCGACCCGCCCAGTTCACGGAGAGCGTGATCAAGGATATTCTGGCATATGGTGCCAGGACCGATGATGGTTTCCAAATCATAAGTGGCAACACCATGGGCACAGATTGCTTCTACGAGGGTGAGTGTGCGAGTGTCAAGTGGTTCAAAGAAATAGCCCATAACCATAACAATGCCCATTGGATTGACTTAGGTCAGGGTCGTACCGATGGCGCCATATGCGAGTATAGTGCCGAGGACAAGATGAAATTCTTGCACAAGTGTCATGACCTGGGCATACGCAACATCGAGATGGAGGCCAGCATGTTCGCCTCGGTCACCCAAAAGATTGGCGTGAAGGCTGGCGACATCTGTGTGACCTTACTCAACCGTCTTGACGGCGATCAGGTGAATTTCCGGCATATCATATCCCTAACCAAAGTTCACGAAACCAATGAATCATCCACAGGTCAACGCCGAAAAGAAGGAAGAGTTTGAGCACCGTCCCTTCCTCGTTGTGGGTCGCTACATTCAGGGACTCTTGAAGCAATAATGGGCCCGATACTGTCTGCATACCACAGTTTAATACCTCATAAATATGTCTCTTAATAAATGTGTCAGCTAAATCTCCTGTATTAGCAGCTTGTTGCTGCTCTTGATATTGTCCTGGGGCATGCGTAGCATTGCTGGTAGTGTGGAGGCTTCGCTTGTGAGTGGCTGTGTCTGGTTTTTGGGTGCGGAGGCAGTAGGAGCCTTGAATTTACTGCCCAAGGCCTCGGCTGCAGTAACCAATTTGCTTTTGACCACACGATTCGGCTTCACCAGCTCGGCCAGATCATATTCTTTGACAGGAGGTGGCTTCGCCACTGGCACATCTTTGGACTTTCCTTTCGGTTTGGCCGATGCATCTGGCTTCAGCTCCTCAATCATCAAACGGGTGGCATTGTTCGGAGCCAGCTCTCCGAGCTGATTATTTAGCAGCTCCAGGGCCTTTAAGGCAGCAGCATTATCCGGCTGCAGCTCTAGAACGCGCTGATAAAGATGAAGAGACTAAAGGAAGAGAATCATCAGAGAGCCATCATCAATTAAGGGACACTCTGATTACCTCACGGCGACTTCCTTGGGCATAGCTAGCATCAGCCAGGCGCAGACGAGCCTTCAGATTGTCCGGCTCCATTTCCAGACATGCCTTGCAGTCCGATATAGCGGCTAGATAGTTCTTCACTTTCATATCTATTGGAAGCAAATAAAAGCAAAATAAGTATATCTTGATCCTCGCTGAAACTTACGTGACACCGCGCGATTGTTGTAGGCCCGAGCTGCATTCTCAGGATCGTAGATAATGGCACAATTGTACTCTTCTATGGCACTTTCACACTCCTTCGACTTGAAGTATTCGTTGCCACGTAAACGATGCCTAAAATTAATCAGAACTCATCAGAAATCCTGAAAAAGGGTTCGATGTTACCCACTTTTGAGCGAACTGCTCCCGTTCCACCTGGCTTAGTTTCTTTAGATGTTCCTGGAGACGTTCATAGAGGGCTTCCTTTTCACTTTTTATTACTTCTTCAGAGGTCTGCGTCGGCGTCGGCGTCGGCGTGGGGTCAGGTCGATTTTTTAGTTCCTCCTGCTCTTTGGTTCGCTCCTCCGTCAATTCCATGCGCAGTATTTCCTCGTCGGGGTCATACTTGTCCCATTTGTTGTAGTCTGTTGAACGGATTCGCTTTTCCGTAGTCTTTGGTGGCTCTGGAGGTGCGCTAACTGGCTTTGATTGCTGCTTTGTGCTCGACATATCCGCGTCTATTTTGGCTGGTTTCCTCATGGGCGCCACTTCTAAGCCCAAGGATTCCATGTCATTTTTCAGGTCGTTCAATGCAGCATCCTTCGACTTGATGGCACGTGTCCAATCCTTCAAAGAAGATAATGGAACTCTATAGAGTATGTATGTAGAATATGTATACATATGTGAGTATATAATATACAATTATATAGTATAAATCAAGGTGCCACTTCACGTTTGGCAATCAATCAAAGATTTCATTCCAATAATAATATCCATTAAAGTTTAAATTTCCTTTTCAATTTTTCGTTGGAAGTATAATTTTTTAGATTTCGGACACTTGACCTCCTGCTGATTGACCGCGGGTCAATGTTTAAACACCAGCCACCATTACATTTCGACACACACCCCTGCCACCTCTTGCTGCCACCAGTCACTTCCCCATTACAAAGCAGCTATTGTGTGCGACGCCCACCAGGAGCACTTCAATAAATTAATTTAAAGTTTAATTAAAAAATTGGTCTTTATTTTCAATTAGCGCCCGGAAAAGTGACCTACCCCCGCCTGCTGGGCAGTCTCTTTCTATCCCTCTCGTTCTTATTCAGTCTATCTTCCCATCCCTCTCGCACTTTCAGGTTTTCTTAATTAATTAACAAAATTAAATTTATGCACAACAGCAGTAGAAGCAGCAGCAGCAGCGGCAGCAGAAAGGGAGCCTGAGTGTTGCACAGTAATTATCAATAAACCTGACCGTTCCACCTTTTTTTCGGGTGAGGAGTGGAGTTGGAGATGATGGGGTGGGGCTGGGGGTTGGGGCAGTGGTATTGGCAGGGGAAAGGAAGGTGGGGCGAGGCACCCCATCAACGGCCACTAACTCACATTACCCAAGAAGTGCCGCAGAGCCAGACTCCTGCAGCGACACAACAGAAGAAGGAAAGAAGTCTTTTGGGTCGAAGAAGGTGCTGGACCTGTGAACTGGAGAGAGGAGGAGATGGACCTGGAGGTGAAGATGGGATGGGAAATGGGATAGGGAGGGGAGGGGAAGTGGAAGTAGACTTGGAGGAGTAATCTTACTGCTGCGGGGCACGTAAAAGAAACATTAACGCGTCCTTGCCCCGTGACCCGTCCGGGCGCGAGCGCCACACGCTCGCATGGCCCCAAAGCTTGTTAGGCCAAGGAACGTCAGCATTCTGCACGTGATCCGGACGAAGCAACAGACTCCGAGACCGGACCCAGACTCCTTTGCGGAGCCGTGTGCTCAGGGGGTGGGTGCATAGTGTCGTCTTGAGTGGCATGCAAAGTTAGTCACAAAATGACTCTCCCTTTCCTTTATTCTCTTCTCTGTAGCTGTTCCGTCTTCCGTTTAAGTGCCAAAAGCCAATGGGGGTGGCGTCTCTCGGAGTCATATTTGTTCTTGCCCGAATGCCGGGAGAGTAGAGGCCTTACATGTGGAATTGGTTCCAGCTGTAGTAGCAGGCAACAGATACGGCCAGTAGGTTAAAAAGTGGGGATTCAGCGGTAGCCAGAGACTAAGATCGAATGGGAGTGGGAACATGAGCAAGGTTCATCCAAAAGCTTAGCTGAAAAGGAATTAAAATGTACACCTCGCTTGGCCCGGTTTCAGCATGCATCATCATGCATTCCGGCTGATCTTTGGTCTTTCGTGTCCATTAAGATGTCTCAGGTAACAAGCAGAACGAAGCTGAGCCACAGTCTGAGTCACAGATGATGCTCTAGTCTCAGTCCGGTGCATGGGTTCGGTCTGGCCGTGGAGTTCATGGAAGTTCAATTCAGGGTGCTGTGGCCTCGGGGGTGGGCTCTTTTATTCTATTATGGCCACACGGTCGAGCGGGACAACTTAATTTCCGTCTACATTTCAATAACAGCAACAACAGCAGCAGCAACTCGTAGATGAGGGGGAGGAGGAGCAGAGGGCGGAGAACCAAACCCAATCCCCGTCCGAGCGGCAACAGGAGCAACATCAGCAATGAATTTTAAAATATTCATAAATGAATGCAAAAAGAGTTTGTCGGGTACTAATGGGATGGGATGGGGTGGAATGGAATGGGGTGGGATGGGCGCTGGATGCCAGTTGAGGTTGTAAGTTTACATGACTGCCGTTTCTGTTGAAAGCGAGGGAGCAATTAGTGCAACTCCAGAAGCAGAAGCAGAAGCAGCAGAAGCAGCAATAAAGCGGGTAAAATCAATGGCAACTGACAGTGGAAGTGGAAGCAGCAGCAGTGGCAGCGGCAGTGGCAGTGGCAACAATGGCATCGGATCCACATGCAAACCCTTTCCTTTCCTCCCTCATGCTTCTGTTTTCCCTGTCAGCTGTAATCAACGTCCAAGTAACACCCCACAGCTCTACATCCGCATCTAGTTCCACATCCACCTCCACCTGCACTCCGTAGTGCCCCATCCATCTGCGGCAATTAGAAAATGTTACCGACTTAGAAATGCGTGGCGCCTGACTAAATGGACGTTAATGGCCAGCTGCTGGCAACGAACTAATGGCAAAAACACCAGCAACAACAACATCAGTAATAAAATTATCGCCAAAGGATGATGGGCAGGGTGTAGGGTGGAGCGATCCGCTGGGGCGGGGCTCCGAGTGGTGTCCGGAGTGTGGCCCTTTATGAATTGCTCACACGCCCAGGTGGACACGGAAGCCGACAGAATGGCAGAATGACAGGAAGGACGGACGGATGGAAGGAAGGAAGGAATGGCACTTCGGTAGGCACATTAAAATTAAATTGCAAATTAAACATCAAAGTAGTTCAACGACAGAATAGTGAAATGAGTTCATAATCGGATTTGACGACTTGTGAAATGGTTTTAAATGGCTGCCAGAGTGCCAGGAGAGCGGCAGACAAATGGCTGCACAGCCGAACGGAACGGAACGGATCGGACCGGAGAAGTGGAAGGGGTTTAAAATCCACTGAAATTATAACCATAAAAAGGCAGCTTCAACTAAATGTATGTACCTACTAGCAAAGACAATACATATACATATGTAACAATAAGATGCGTAACGACGAACTTTTGGCACTCATATTTTTCTGGCTGGCTGTTTTCTGTTCAAAAACCAGAGAGAGAGAGAGCGCTCTAGAGCCAGCCGCTCTTAATCTCTCAATCAAAGACTATACAATAACAAGATAACATGCGTGAGCGGCCGAAAACCGGTTCTATGGCGGGTCACTACGTCCCATACACAGAGAGCGCGCGCGGACTTTAAACTCTCTTTTCGGCTAAGCTTCGTCTCTGACCAAAAGCCCGCTGCCCACAGGCTTCGTCTGTGCATGCATGTGCATGCATTTCGCACAGTGGGGTCTTTGCCTATATCAGCTGGATAAATTAATAAGAGACTAAGAGTTCAATACATTGTTTCACATTGAAACAATTTTCAACTTTAAGTGCTTACATCTCATATTCTCTGGAAAATTCTCTTTTATTTTATGCAAAGCGCTCATACAATTTGTTGACCTGTGCAACCCCTTTTAGGCTGAGCCCACTGTGCCGCTCCAAAGACTTTAGCATTGATACGTGTGCACACATATTCTCAAGCATTCTAGATCTGCCTGCATGCATACGGTTTTTTACAGAGCTGGCTAAATATACCCTTTACTTAAGAATTTTTGTATGGTTATATATGTATGTTTTGTTTTTTAAATATAGAATGTATGCATATAATGAGCAGATATACATATGTACACTAATAATATGGATTGAAATGGAACGAGTGAATCATTGAACTGATTGAAGCAAGGTCAAGGGAACATTTTTCAGATCCATGAATCCCATTTTTGTTTGTGCCCCTCTGCTTTTCCTGTGGCTCTTCTCGTTGTTGCTGCCACCGGCAATAAACATTAAAAAAAATCATCAAAAACCGGCAAACGGTTGCTGTATATCCAACGTCTCCTGAATTCTTCAAAAATCGATATTCTTATGGAAGAGTCGTGGAGCAGTGCCAGAGCTGATGTTGTCAGCTCTTCGGTGACTACGGCGGTCACAGCGGCGGCTGCCTCCGACACCATCGTTTTCCCCATGGAATGGCACAGACCAATACCCAGACCCTTCCTCCTCCGGATTCTATAATGTTTCCCGTGGATGACGAAGCGACTCCTAAAACTGTTGGCTCTGCGGCTTGTACCAGCGGTTGACTGACGCATATGCGTTATTAAATCTGCATGTGTGTGTGGCTCTGTCTGTCCGTGTGTGCTGTTGTGGGCTGTTGTGTGCGGGTGTATCTATGTGGCTCTGCCTCTGCCTCTACGTCTATGACTGTGCGTGCTGACAGCAATTTGCGTATCAATATGGGCACATAATGCTTCGAAAATGATTTCCAAAATTTGCATTTAAATTAAAAATTATATTTGCAACACAAATAGACGAACGTCGATGTAGTGCTTCGGGACGGGGTGTGTTTCGGTGACGGTAGTAGTAGTAGGCACTGCCGTCCGACTACAACAAGACGCAAAAACGTCAAAAAATGCAAATTTAGCAAATTTTAACAACATTTTTAGTTGTTTCAACGTTCGCTTCCGATAGAAATGCGCTGCGCATACGCAACGTATGCCGCCGCAAAATGGATGTGAACGCATACGCACACACACATAAGCATGCAAGCTGCCTCGCACACGCATACGACTGACACACACACACATTGCAGCATGACAACAACCGTTGGCCGAATTTTGCGGCTTTTGTAGCTTCTGTTTTGGATTGGGCAACCATCAGCCACGCCAAACACACGGCTCTGAGTTGGAGTCTCCTCTGTGTAGGAGGTGTCTACATTATATACTACTTACATATGTGTTTAAAGCAATTTCTTTGTAGAATATCCGAGCTGGATAGGTTTATGGAATGAAAAGCCAAAGCAGAAGTTTTTGAACCTTATCCGGACGGTATATGGATGAGAGCATTCGCTGGAAGACCGGCCGCGGCGGCCTACAAATCAAATTATCACCAGAAACTCCACTTTTCAATCAGTTTTCTTTCGAAATTTCTGATAATAGCGATATTGGAATATGTTTTCAGGAGTCGGTGAAGTCTGATAAGTCGGACTGCGTCCCACCTCGAAAAGCGACCGCTTTGGCATCGTTGTGGCATTCCTGGGCCCCGGAGTGCACACGGAGGCGCACACAATCGTCCAGAATGCAGCGACGACCATTTGTATTGTGCGATGGGAAAACAATGAGAGCAGCAGCCAAAAGGAATCCATAGCAGTCCGGGAAAGCAAAAGCAGCCATTGTAGTGGCTCCAGTTTCCAGTTTTGGGACAGAAGCTGGAGCTGTAGTTGTGGCTGTGGCTCTGGCTATATAGTACTTTTAGCTGGAGTTGATGTCGATGTGGTGTTGGCTGCGGATGCGGATGTATTTGCTGGTATTCGGTGCTAGTGCTGGTGTGTGTCAAAACAAATTTCATTTCACATTCAATTAAATTAATTTAAACACCATTTGCAGTCGGGCGAATGGAAGATGGGGAAGGGCAGCGGCAAGAACAGAAACAGGAACAGGAGCAGGAGCAGGCGATTGGAAGGTATAACAAGCTGGTGTAAAAGAACAGGACGGGAAAGGAAAGGATAGGAAAGGAGAGGACCCGACGGGGTGACCCCCGCATAGCAGGCGAAGATGCCGATGCCAGTGCCAATGACGACACAGCTGGATATGCAGGACAGAGAATGGTGTTCGAGTAGTGAGGCGTACATGCCACATGCCTGTGCCACGTTTTCCACATTTCTTCACTTTACCGTTAATGGTTTTATCTTTTGCTTACTGCCCTGCCCTATCCATGGTTCTCTCCCACTACCACTACCACTCCCACTCGCACTCCTAGTCTATCCCCCTAAGATCGATCGATCCGGGCCGAAGCTATGGCTGAGACCGGGACTGAGACCGATGCCGGAACCGAGCAAACGAATTCGAACAGCGAGTTAATATAATTACAGAAATAAAGTCTGGAATTTTAATTAAAACACAACTTCATTTACAGCCGCAGACGCCAGGCGGCCCAGTCGAGTTCTATCGAGCAGCACGCCGATGCCCATGGCATGGTTGGAACAGTAAGACCAGTCGGTGGATGGGCACACTGGGTGGGTACTGGGGTGGAGGGTAGTGCAGTGCTAGAGAGTGCTGTTAGAGGTGTCACCCTCCCATACTCGTATAAATCTTTCATTTCGCAGTCAACTAGCGTGAACTAGTATCCATACTAGCAGTAGACCTAATGACCTCACCCCAATCTCAAATATTTACTCTAACTTCACTTCACAACTATGATCTTGCCTCAATCTACTACTCAGTCATTCCTCTTGGGCTCGTTCCACATGTACTCGCACTTGGAGTACTTTTAATATTACCTTCCCTCCGGAGCACTTTTCACTGTTTTACTGCTGGATGGCAAGCAATGTTGGGGAATGGGAATGCGGCCGCATTTCAATTATGTTTTTACGGCTTAGAGTTAATTGAAAAGAAATTCGTAGGCAAACAGAAGACACCCGACGGGATCTTGCGCCAGTGAAAAAATAACATATACATACATGCAAATACATACATATACATATGCAAATGAATATGTATTGGGATTTATGTATATATTCATATTTAATATTGCATATTTTCCTTTGTATTGGTTTGCGAGTTTCGCTATTGACTTTGGCGACTTTCAATTAAAGCACGTAATTGATTAACACTGAGGCATGCATAAAAATGGAAATGGAAATTGAAATTATATTTACTTTTTATTATTTTCCAGCTCCGCCTGCGTTTTGGACATACGCTCTGCTAGTTTTCAGGGACGTGCCACGATCAAGGGGCATCTGCAATTTATATGACGTGCGAAGCCAGTTAATATTCGTAGCCAGTAATAGAGTTAGCATAGGGTACACGGCACTGCTGAGTATTATTTGCGGCATTAAGGTATCCACTATAACGTATCCAAATAAGTATTCCACTCGTGTACCCATTGCCAATTCGTTGAACACAAATCAGCTTAGGTTGGGATTGTCGCATGCATTTTCGGATTACACCGATTTGTAATATTTTCTGTCGTTTCATCAATATGCGATTAGCAATATTATTTTTTTGTAAATGTAAAACATGTAAAACGAATGTTGGGGACATCGCATGGTGAGAATGAGCTTAGTTGATGTTGTTGCCGATGATTTCGTGATGCTGTAGGGCGACGTCATATTGTATTTTTGAATAGTGCTTAACTCTTTGGCCGCTTGCGAAGGGCCAATTCTAAACCTCACACAATCAGCCAGAGACCCCTGGCCCGGATTTGCATAATAAATGAGAGGCAAAAGCCAAGCGGCTACTGTCACATGGCCACTGGGCGGCAGCCATTGAGAAAGGTACGTAGACGAGCATGAGCATGAGGATGGGGACGGGGATGGGGATGGGAAACCGCCCATGTGCCACCTATAATGACGATAATAATGATGAAACAACAGACACATGCCACTGCACCAACATCAGAACCTGCTCATAGACGCAGACAGGTGTAACAGGGAGGCAGCCATCGAGTTGACTTGAAAACACATACACACACACGTATGCCGAGGCGGTCCTATATGCACCCAGGGTGGGGTTGGGGCTCGGACAGAGAGTGGCAGAAGGCAGACAAACTGCTGACATTGCGGGGGGCGACACGAGCAAAACAATATGCAAATTTGGTTGCATACTTTTCGGATGCAGCGTGAAAATCATTGCAGCTAAACAGACAGGCCCGTGTCCTCCCCTATCCCCTATCCACTAACCACCATCCACTGACCCCTCCCCAGAATCAGGCAGACTTCACCTTCAGTCAGAATAATCAAACAAATGGACAAAAGCCATAAAGAGAGACAGTAGCACACAGACAACGTGAGAGAGAGACGGAGAGTGACAGAGACAGAGAAACAGTAGGAGCAACATAATGCCTTTCCGGTATCCAATAAACCGACTGCACTTGGACAGTCCGGATTTCCGCCTGAATCATTGATGAGCTATTAAAGTCATTTATATTTTGCTGTTTGTTGTTCGTTGTTCGTCCAACTTCAGCGCCATCAAAGCACGGCCAGAACCTGGTTCCGTTCCCCTGAACAACCCCTTTGACCCGTTGCAGCTGGAGGCTTTGCTTGAGGGTAATTTTTGTACATGTATGAATGTATATTATTTTTTTTTCCAGTCATCAGAGGCCCGTTAGTCTCCAAAAAGCAATGCTAGTAAAATTTATTGTTGGTAAACTACAAATTCAAGTGGAAATTTCAATTACAATAGCAAGAACCTTTCTGTCTTTTTCAACCAGTCGACTGCAGTCGATTATTAACTTAATCGCTAGGAAGAAATATATATTTTTTTAAGGATTGTTTTTTAAGAAATATTCATCGCAGAAAAGTTTTAAATAGATATTCAGCTACTTGTAAATCTTCTCGATTGTTCCTGCAACTCGTTTAATTTCCCTGAACAATTAGCGAAACGGAATTATAGTTTTAACCGCTTTTAGCAGCAGTCGGCTCGACCGCTTTAATTGAAGCGGGTGCGGGTGCGGAAACTGCAGACAGGCGGCCTTAATAAAACTCAACTCATGTTACGGAACCATGGGCAATGGGTAGGAGTGGTCACCTTGCCGTCCACAATACGATGGCTCGCAGAGGCGGAAAAAAGTTGAAGAAGCCAAACAATCGAACAGCGCCAGATACCGATTCAATTCCCGGATGCTGTTATACCATGTTACAGCCGCCCGCCTGGGTGGCAATGGTGGGCAAATGCAGATGTGGATGTGGACGACGACATGGAAGTGGCAATTGCCACGACGACAACGCGCACGACAAACGATGAGCCGGCAGACAGACAAACAGAGAAGGACGAAGCAGAGGATGAAGCTGGAGATGGAGATGAGGACGACGACGAGGACGTTGATGGAAATGAAAAGATAATTTACCCGCATGTTTCAACTTCAGCGTGTGCCACGCCCACCAAACCACACGCGCAGACTGACAAGCAGGAGAGGCCCTGGCTCCAGAGTCAGGGCTTGGGCTTTCCCTCGTTTCATCTCATCCTTGGAGCCGCCGTGGCTGTTGTTGTCAGCATCAGCGTCAGCATCAGCATCATCCTCATCATCGTGGCCACTAATGCTAATGCTGGTTATCTGTCTATCCATCAGACGGCCATGTTATGATGTAAATGCTCCAGCTACCGTTGGCACTGCTACTGCAACTGCTCCTCCTCCGCCTGCTGATGGGGATAATAGCCACCGCTATCCGGCCCCATTCCAGCTTCATTCCAGTTCAAATATGTCGCTTCCCTCTTGTCATTGGGTCTACATCAGGCACAAGACTGCCAAACATTTCGTCTGTCTACAAAGGAGGAGGGAAGGGTACACGAACACGTACACGTAAGCCAGTGTTCCCGAAAACTCCAGCAGGCCGCCAAAAAGTGATTCCGCAGATCTCGTTTTCGGTCTTACCAAAATCTTAAGATGTTTTCACATTAAATGGATCTGCTTTGTAGAATTCGCGGAGGCAAAGAGATTCATCCACCTTCGCCTTTCCTTTGTCGCGTCAATAGTTTTAAGGTGGAACCAGAAATGTCCATATTTCTAAAACTGCCAACTTTCGAATCTTTAGGATATCTGGAACATCTCCCTCCCACAAGGAGTAAAGGGAACCATAGAGACGCATGCACAGGAGAAGGCAAGGCCCACAAATTTATTGTTCTTAAACATCTGAGCATGAATAGCCATAGCCCCTGCGATCCTAGTGCTGGCCCAAGTCTTGGGACTGGGATTGGCACTGGACTGAGTTTTGGGTCTGGGTCTGGGTCTGGGCCTTTGGCAATGCTCTCTGGCTATATTTGAATGCCAAGTTGCCAGTTGTCACAATGTGAGTGATATATAGCCAAAATGTCAAATGTCAGCGAAAGACATTATTACTGGCTAGTTGATCCGTCTCCGTCTCCCGCTCCGACATCCGAGCTCCCCTCACGGCATCCCTTCTACGTCTACGTCTGCGGATGTCGCCGTCTGCCATGATAATCGATACGCACAAATTCAGACAAACAGACGGCAAGTCGCACAGACAGAAGGCGGAGAGGCCAGACGAGACGGGCAGAGAAACCTTTGAGATGGAAGTGGCACAAGGGGTTACTTAACCCCAATTTTAAAGCCATTCTCATATATGTACGAGTGTACAAGGCATATGTATGCCTAAAATCATTCAGACTACTCACGCAGCACATACATACATACATACCTCATGGTCAGAGAGAGGGAGGGAAGGGAAGGATCAGAACTCATTTCCAGGAACATTTAATTGCTGGATTAAAAAAAAGGAAAAATCTGAAGATTATTTAATATATAAATGTGAATGTACTCTTAACAACAAATACTAAAATTTAATAAAGCGTTTGAGTTTTTTTGAAGCGTGGCCTTAGTCAGTTCGGAGAAATTGCTTTACGAGGCGTGCAATAAAAAAAAAAATCCAACTTTGCTTCATTCCCGATGGTTTCACCAATTGATCTTTAGGTTATTACTTTTATAACATATGTACTTTTAAAGAGCTGAATTCAAAGGGGCTAGTTTTGAAATCGTAAAACTAATCATTTTCATTTTATTTCCATCCACTTTGGGCTTCTTTCTATCAGTGTATCAATCCGTCTAATCGAATATATCAACATAACCATTAGACAATGTATTTAACACACTAACAAATTTAAAATTTATAAAAGCAAAAATGCGAAATTATGATAAAAAAAATATAAAAAACAAAAAAGAAGCCGCAGCCGGCGACAAGCCTTAAGAAGCGGAAAAAATACATTTATATATCCCTATACATATTTATTCTATATATGGAGGGGACAGAGAGAGAAGGAGGCTGAACGTGACATTGGCCGGCTACTGTAAGAGCACCCACAGAATCAGACCCGGCTGTGGGCTGTGGACTGTGGGTGCCAGAGTTCTGGCGACTTGAGCGCTGATGATGTGGATAAAATAAACATGGGACATTGGTTTGGCCAAGAAGCGGGCGAGCAGGGAAGCTGAGAGGACTAACAGGGGGAGGGATTTGTGGGGAAGACGAAAGCGTGTTTAAACATTAAAAGGACCATTAGATACGCCTTAAAGTATGCTTCAAGTAGATTATCTTCCATCAGTTTTGTTTGCTTACTTGGAATTGTTTCGCTTCATTTTTCTCGTTTGCAAACACCCTCAAACACATAGAACCGTAGGGCTCTATCTGTGTGGGGTGCTGTGTACCTTCTTTTCTTTTCGCCTCTTGCTTCTCCCATGCAGTAGGAAAGCATCTGTTAGTGACCAAAGACAAAGAGAAAGCCAGAGACCAAGACCAAGACCAAGACTGAAACGGAGATGAGCACTGGCCAGTCGAAGTTATTATAAATTGTGCGCGTGTCCTTGTAAAATAACATCAAGTGAACCTAAAAGGCCACAATATAACACACCGGAGACTACCCACCTAACCACTCATCTCTGCCACCGTGCCAAGACCCCCCGTCGTAGGCAACAGCAGCACCACATTCTGGCCAAGTCTTTGCCCCGTCTATGCTCCTTAAATTACCGAGAAGTGCGCTCTGGGTGGCGCTTATTGCTTTTGCCCCATGGCCGTGGCATGACTGATGTGATCGGCTGTCTTCAAATTGCCCATCCCGGAACAGCAACCTTCTATGGCTGAGATATCAGTACGAGCATCTTCATGCAGCTCATTCAGAACAGCTATTGGCTATGTAATACGGGTGTGGAAATTTATCCATGCAACTTCTGGACCACCACTGCACGGTGGATGGAAATTCCGTTTTTTTTCGCCTTAACCTCCACGGTAAAGCCAGAAAGTTGAAACTGGGAATATTGGCTATTCACATTACTAATGAATTTCGAATTCATTTTCTGACCGATGCGACCACGCTTTCTCCGCCACCAACATTAAATAATTGCATTAAATTTAAGTTTTTAATTTTTTGAAAGTACAAATAATTATAATTATGTATTCATCATTGTACATTGCTAAGTGGCTTACTTACTTACCGCTTGCTGGTCCAATTCGGGCCACTGGGGAGACCCTTCCACGGCAAGGTGTGGACCGTGTCTGGTGCGCCTACCAAGCGAAGCTCTTTGACGTGCTCCGGCTGCCCCACCATCGACCTCTGTCAGAAGATCTGCTCAGCCTGATCGAGCAGAACTTCACGATGATCTCGAACTGCAACCATGACTTCTATCCGGCCCACATGACACGGATAACCGGAACAGGAACTTGCTGCCTCGAATCACCAACGACATGCTGTGGCCTATTGCCGACTACTTTATATTCCCCCGCCATTGCAGTAGGCGGCGGAGGTGGAGGTGAACCTTGCAACAGCCACACGACGCATATCGATGTAATACCTACATACATATGTAAGTGGTCATCGCCTAAGCCAGACATGGTGCTTTTAGATGGATTTTTGTGCGGTGGCGCAAGATGGCCTTAAAAATTGATTTAAGACATGTAATCTATGGACAGCAGGCACCTCCTTCCCTGCCAATCCAATATGAGTACCCGGTCCGCCGGTCACTCGCTCTACTGTGCTCGGCTCCACTCGTTGGTAACCAGAGTCAGAACCATGTGTGAGCACCACCAACTGGCCAACTGGCCGAGCGGCACGGAGCGGCACTTGAGTTAAGCTGTGCAAACGTTTGCATAATCACGTTCCAATTTAAATTGCTCTATTTGCAGGGACAGGGACTGGGTCCGGGACCGGGACCGGGTCCTGGTCTCGACATGGTTCTAGATCTGGTTCTGCTCTGGGTCTTGCTTCTGGTGCTGGTAGTCTGTCCGTCTCCTCTCCTCACTTTCCACTGTTTCGCCGTATCTATGAGCGGGGGGCGGGGGTGTGGCATTGGGTGAAGTGGCTTTGGGGTGGCCATTGCCATCGTTTTCGACTCTCAGATTGGAAAAACTGGATAAGTTTTATTAGCTAACGCTGGAGCGTTGCCATGGCCGCTATGCATGTCCCTTCCCACTCCTTCTGTTTGCCAAGTGTGTAGAACTATGGAAAAATGTGATTGTGATTTTGATTTTCCTTCTTTACAATCTGAATCTGTCTTCTCCATCGCACCCCATCCATCTCTGTGTTTCCCTCATCTGACGGGCCATCGGAATCAACAGTTGCCAAGAGCAACAAGATGGGGGAAATCCTCATACGAGTCCATTAATTTACTTCGATATATTTTGGAGTGCAGAATTGCTCACTCCACATGGCGCTGGCCATGAAGGGTATTAAGTACTTGGGATTTCATAACAGGCCTTAAAAAATGTTAATTGCATGCATTCATTTATTCCTAATTGCGGAACGGGAATGTATAATTGAAATAAATAGACGGTAGCAAAATCCATATTACCATTTATTGAGGCTTTTTCACTGAGAACTCGAAAGGCCTTCTCATCTACATGACACGGTAAAAGAAAAGAAAATGAATTTATATAGTATATACATATATATAAAAGCACTTAAAGTTGAAAGTTGTTTCAGTGTGAAACAATGTATTGAACTCTTATTCGCTTATTAATTTAGGCAGCTGATATAGGCAAAGGCCCCACTGTGCGAAATGCATGCACATACATGCACAGACGAAGCCGGTGGGCAGCGGGCTCTCGGTCAAAAACGAAGCATAGTCGAAAAGAGAATTGAAACCCCCCCATAGAACCGGTTTTCGGTCGCTCATGCATGTTATCTTATTATTGTATAGTCTTTAATACAAGAGAGCGGCTGGCTCTAGAACGCTCTCTCTCTCTCTCTGGTTTTTGAATAAAATTTCAAGAGAGCCTGGAGCCAGCTCTAGAGCCAGCCAGAAAAATATGAGCGCCAAAATTTTTGGCATACATATTGTTATAAATATTGTCGTTGGTAACAGTCCAACGACTTCCACAAGGAAGGCTGCCGGCCTGGATCATCTGTTGTGCCAAAAAGGGCAATAGAACCACTAGCTTTTCGAGAAGCCTCATTCGCATCATTCCCGAAAACAAAATGATAATGGCAACGGCTTTGTTTCAGCTTTGGAACAAAATAGTTTTAATGAGTGGATCTCAATGGTCTTATGACCTGAATGGGAAGCCAAAAGATGGATTCTATAGAACTTAAACGAATTTAGAATTAGTTGAAGGGTATGTTGTGTATTTTACAGGGGATCAGGGAATATATGGTTTTTTGGGGGAACCGCTAATCCCAGCGACTGCACTTCTCATCCCTTACGATGGGCAACCCGCTTATACCGTCGTCGGGCTCGTTGGGTGACGGATAGACGCGCTCGCCGGTGCCGGGATTGCGCTGGCGGTTGTGGTTCTTCATGGTAAGCATATCCCAGTCGAAGATGTGGCTGTCGGCGTAGTTAAGGCCCAGCCGCAGCATGCGGAACATGCGGATGAGCATGGCATAGTCGGGCTTGTCGTAGAAGCCCAGCCCGCGGCAGTAGTTCAGGTACATGGGGAACTCGCACGGAAAGCCCTCGCAGAGCACCCCGTCGCTTATGGAGAGCTTCATCTCGTGAATGCGCTCGAACTTCTGGCGCTTGGTGGAGGCCTTGATGTTCTGCCAGGGCAGGGTGCCACGGTTGAAATACATCAGCACGTAGCCGACAGACACTAGGTCGTCGCGCCGGGACTGCTCCACTCCCGCGTGGGATCGGATGGAGGCATAGCGCGCTGTGCCTGTGAGGGAGCGTTCCTCGCGGTAGGGCATGTGCACCCCGGTGGTCGTGTCCAGGTACTTCTTCGCCAGCCCGAAGTCGATCAGGTACACTATCTTTGCCTGCCTGCTCAGGCCCATCAGGAAATTGTCAGGCTTGATGTCGCGGTGCACGAACCCCTGCTTGTGCACGTACTCCACCCGGCTGATCATCTGCTCGGCCAGCATCAGCACCGTCTTCATAGTGAATGCCCGCTCGCAGAACTGAAACAGCCGCTCTAGCGATGGCCCCTGGAGATCCATTACCATGGCGTTATATTTTGGCTTCTTGCAGTAGAAACGGATGCGCGGCAGGCCCACGGCGGGGCGCAGAGCCCGGTACACACGGCGCTCGTAGTTCAGTTGCGGATGGGTCACCGCTGTGCTCTCCACCTTTATGGCTACGTGTTCGCCGCTCCAAAGGTAGAGGCCCAGGTAGACGTCCCCAAAGGATCCGCTGCCGATCTGTCGGATCACCTTGTAGCCTCCCACGCGAATTTCGATGTTACGCTTCTTCATTTGCTCCATGGCTGACTGCTACAGCTACAGCTATAGGTACTGGAGCTCGACCTGGAAATGTTCTTTTCCAAAAATATAATTCGAAGCCTTCTAAGAAAATTGAATTAATTGTCAACGAAAATTTAGACCCTATCATTTGATTGGCAAAAAGTAACTAGAATTTGTTGTAAGTTCTCCTACTTGTAGTACGAGTAGGAATTTTTTATTTATGCTGCATATGACCGTTTCATTTTCTTCGTTCGGAGGGCTCTATTTTCCTGGTGGCATCTTCTTTCCGGAAAACAACTCCTCGAGTGTCCTTCTGGTGGGACAGTGCTTTGGCGCCGCTTTGCGAAAAACGATTACGCACTAAGCCTATAACTTATGTTGATGTTTTCTTTCCGTCTTAACATTTGCAAATTTGTCATTTTTTTCCATTGTACCGCCTGTGCCTGGGTTTTCCCTGGCTTTGGCTTGGCTTTATCTCACCAATATTTTGCCAGAGTCCTGCTCTTGCTTCTGCTCCTGCTCCTGCTTCGGCTCCTGTCGCTGTCCTGTCCGCTTTTCGCTCTCCTTGTGACCAGCTCAGGGAAGGTGATTTTTCGCCTCCTTTGCCTGCTAATATTATTGTGCTTCTGTTATGTTTGGGGCTCCTTTCTCTATCCCTATAAGTAGTGGACGACGTTCTGTTCCTACCCTGCCATTTTTAAGCACTGTTTGCTTATTCCAGTAGCGTTATCTCCCCAGTCTCCCACTGTCAATCCCGATCCCATTCTCAGTCCCACCACATCCCATCTCATGCCCTGTCCGTGGTCTGTGTATCATATTAAACTAATCCTAAATGGTTTCTTTACGGTACATTTGCGGCACTTGTTAGCCAATGGCAAGGAAACGACACATACACCTGCATATTGTTGGCTCTCTGCCGGCTAAACATATTTATAAGTATAAAATTAACAAACAAAAATGTACATGCTGCAAAGGTACTTGAAGTTAGCTCTGAGGTAAGCTAACAGGTGAAGGTAAAGGTACAGCCAAATCCGAAGCTCATGTGTTTGCCAGTCAGCTATAAGAAATACGATTAGGGGAGTTCTTAGGAAGGAGCTGCCAGTGGGGCAGATATGTATGAGTCCTCCCACAAAAGATCTACAGAAGTCCGAGTACTCTATGGCAGTCCAGCCATCAGTATTTTGGCGCACAGTACTTTGCCTCTTGATTCGATGTTCTCAAATATTCCCAGTAATATGGCTTACGAGTGATTCAATTATTATTCAGTTTGATCAGAAATCGCTTACCAGCTCAAGGACTACTCCAAAGAGCTCCAGCTACAGCTTCAATCAAGTGCTGCCATGCTCACTCACTACAAAATTTCTTTGACTCAATCAAATGGATATTGAAGTTAATGCATCAAGCCAACCAGGTTAATCGAAAAATGCTTACCTTCCGGTGCCGGAGCTCATTAAAATGCAAAAGGAATCTATCAATTAATTAGTAATTCAATCAATAAATTTTCAGTCACTGCCAAAGTGTTGCCGTATTGATTAATGTCACGCTAGTCGAATGCAAATAGAATGCCGCTAATTGAGCAACAAATTAGAAAACTATGAGAATCATCATTAGCGCAACAGTATCGCCTCCCCCGACCACTGTCGACTACCCCGCCCACACACGGACTAATGATGCAACCCCGGAATCCCCATTGCGTGGAGTGGACTCGGCCGTGAAACTTAACTTGGTCGAAATTATATTTGTGAAACCAATTGAAAGGCTCCCGACACATTTGCATGGTCATATGTGCCTACCTATAAACAGTGCCAGGTAGAATTATAGTGCTTCTCCTCTTAATATGAATACACGAGAGTATCGAGAGTTGCACCGACCACATTTGCCACACTTTAATGGGGAGCAGAGTTTACTTTGCGGAGAAGTATTATTGTCGTGTCATATTAGACAACTAAAATCAGTGCAATCGGTTATCTATCACCATAAGAGTAAATAGCATAATTATTCGTTTAATTTTTGCTAACTTAAGCAGGGACCGTTAATAATGATTATTTTTTATTTATTTTTTTCGAAAAAATCATCCACTTAAAGTAGCCGCACAGAAGAATTAAATAGACCTTTTTATTTTTTTTATTTTTTCGCTCAAATATAAAACTCAAAGTTAAATAATGAAAAAATCATTGGAAGCTGTGAAAATATTGATACATATCCTTACTAATTAAGTCAAGACGAACGCATAAAACATGTTTTTCAATTTAAAAAAAAAATATATTATATTTTTATGAAAATATGTATACATTTTTATTAAAGCATGATTATTAAATTGTGGTAAAGCTTGCTTTCTTTATACATGCATGCATTTCCGAACTGGTTGCTAGTAGAAGCTTCGCTCGCCATACATAAGCTTGCATAGATATTGAGCGAAAATATAGGCGGAGAATCTTAGTAGTTGCAGAGCTTTAACAAACATTCAAAATTGTAAACAAAATGTGCGGTCGAACTGCCAGAAAGCTTTTAATGTTATGCACAAAATTTTGGCTCTAGATGAGCTTATCATGATCGTATTCTAGCTTGCAGTAAGAGCACGCCTGGATTCTGGAAGTGCTTTACTATGCCTTCCAATGCAAGAGATGATCTACAGGGTGCGTCTCTTACCGGAGTTTTTGCAAAAACTTCTTTTTGTAAAATTGAACAAATAAATCAATTAAAAAAAAAATTATAATATAAATTCCTTAAAACATGTTATATGCTTTCCGTTTGACTTAATTAGTAAGGATATGTATCAATTTTTTCTCAACACCCCATGATATTTTCATTGTTTAACTTTGATATTTTTTGCTCAAACATAATTATTATGGATAATCATTAATAATAATTAATAAAAATAATTATTATCAATAATAATTATCCCAAAAACTAAAAAAAAATTATTATTGTGTGATTTTTAAATTATAGCTTATAATGATTACGGTCCCTGAACTTAAGTTAAGTTTTGTGACTGCTGCCAGCACTTTACGAGTACCCCTTATTTAAAGAATAGTCTGCAACTTATCTTGGACTTGGAAAAAACTTTTAGCAGCTTCCACCTTCCGGAAGAAGCTTCCTCTGAATCGTACTGCTATTATTCTGACCGCAGCTGTATGTACGCGTTTGTATGTACCTGTTCCTGTCTTTCTCTGTGTCTGTGTCTGCGTCGGTGTCTGTTTCTGTCTATGTGTGCCGACATATCGAATCCCAATTTGGAAACTCGTGTCCGCTGTTGCTGCTCATTTATAAAGTTATGCGCTAATAAATAGTTCACAATCGACGTTAAATTGGCAGTTTCGACCGATAGGATGGGCGGGAAGTGGGGTTTTGGGGTTGTGGGGCTATGGGGCTGTGCGGCTGTGGCGGGTGCTCCGCTGTGGAGGTAAGTCTGCATATAGAAGCTGCCGCAAAATGATAATAATTACGTGCATTATGTTTAATGCAAGCGATGAACGAAGGCTGGGGGGAGTGGAGTCCATGGCCGTGTGTATAGTTGCCATTGATTTCAGCTTTTAATTTGAGGCCATTGTTCTAATGCACACGCACGAACACACCCACGCACATCCCTTCGGCACGTGGCAGGATGAAGTGGCATGTATGTAAATGTAGATGCCATGGACAAACAATGGCCGCTAGTTAGTTTTATCGCCGGTCGCTTTCACAACTATTTTTGCCCCAGTCTTTGTGGGGGCTTTCTCTCCTCCTCTCCTCTCAGCATATCTTGTTCTGAATGTTCATTTTTGAGCGTGGCATTAATTAAAACACAATCATCGCGAAAATTATGCATGCCGCCGCCTCGTCGATGGGCACCATTATTTATTGAACGTTAAAGGCATTCAAATAAATAACACAGCCACCGGGCATCCACGACAGTTGATTAGCTCCGTCCGGGAATGCAATTCCCACAAATATCACTCATGCTGAGCAATTAGAGCGGCCTGCAGCAGGGGGCAGTGATGGCAGTGGGTGCGAATTGGACAGTTTCCGTCTCCCGTTTAATGTTGGCTTCAAATGAGCGCGACAAATAACAAATCATCAAATAATTGCAAACATTGTCAGATTAAAGTAGATTCGAGTGGCACCAGATATCTGGAAATAGCTTTAGGAGATTGGGGCCTATTGGGGCTGCTAACACTGCCCCAGTATACCCATACCCCAAGGTTCAGATCCTGTTAGTCCAAATTTTAATATAGTCCCCATATGAAAAATTTCGAATTTAATGCCATTCAATTTTAAGCTCTGCCTAGCGCCATCTGGCGCGAGATGGGCGACACTGCTGTCTTCTTTTGGCAGTGTCTCACGCGAAAGGCGGCAACAGTTTGCGGCGGAAAAACTATGAGTGAAAAAGGAAATTTACCAAAAAGATGGGAAGGGTATTAGGATGCATAATTCATGTAACGACTCTTAGTAAATACTATCACGGTATCACGGTTTTAAAGAAATAAAATAAAATTAGAAATTTAAAACACTTTGTCCATTTAGTTGAAAAGCTCACTTTGCGCCGCTATTCTCGGACACCGTGGAATCACAATCGATATACATATGTATGTATGAATATAATTTGTTTGGAATCGAGCCAAACTGCACGACTTGTCTTAAGAGGCATTAATTACAGTTATTGAGAATCAAAACATAAATGCTAGTTAAGCACAAAGCAATATTTCAGTGCACATATCGTGGGCACCTGTAAAACACGTGCCACACAAGGAAACGAGGCCCCAAAAAGCAGACAAGGATGGAGCGCAGGGAACAGGACAAGGCACCAGATGTAGGATGGAGTGCATGTTCAAGCACTGAAATGAAACCAAATTGTAAATCGTATTAAAATAATTACATTTAATGGCAGCTGATCTCGATGCGAAAATCATTTGTTTTTATTAAGGCCACATGTAATTGCAGCCGCAGCACGTACCCAGCCATATGAAATGCCCCAAATGAGTGCGCTGGGGGAAGAATTGTCCGTGTGGTCCGGTCGATGGCGTTGGCGCCGAACGGGGATTGTACGGAGATTGGATTTTTGGGGTGGTGTTCTGATTAAGCGAGCTCATCGTCCAAATAGGTAACGATTATTTAACCAGAACGAATTAACCTCATTTTCATGGTTCCATAATTAATCCG